CGGATGCCGCTGGGCGGGGTCTCCCTTGCAGCGGTTATTTCCGAGCCCGAGCCAATCGATCAGAGACGACCCAGGAGGCGGCCCAAGGCGGCGCCGACGACGCACCCACGCCCCGTTGGCCAGCCGCCCCTGGTTGTGGTCCGACTCGCGCTCGAGCTCGACAGCCCGCCGAGAAGCCGCCCCCCCTCCCCCCATCGAGAGTCCGCGCGCACTGGCAGCGGCCCTGCGCCGCGTGCTCTCTGGCCACCGCGGCCAGGCGCTGCTGGGGGAGGGTGGTCGAGGCGCCCGCGACGCCTAGGGCTTTGACCCCGCCTCTGATGGCAGCGCCCGCCTCCTCTGCCCTCCTCTGGGCAAGGGCGTCGGCGAATTCATTCCCGCGAAAGACGAGAGTGGACTGGGAGCAACGGAGGTGGGACTGAGCATCGAGATGGGAATCGCACTTGCGGAGGGTGACGACCCCTGGTCGGGCTCTGGCTGCAGCTCTCACTCTCTGCCACCAACCCCTGAGCGCTCCGCAGGGGTCATCAACTCGGCCCCCGTGCCACCCGTCGAACACAGCCGGGTTATCCGCGTATATCACAATATCCCCTGTCGTCGACTGCAGACACCACTACGAGGCGGCCAACTCTGCTGCGGGGACGGCCTGGCGGCCGTCGGCCCCCCCGCACCGCCCTGGGAAGGGGGGGGGGGTCGGGGGCCTCAGGAGCAGGAGGCCCATGCGGTCCCATCTGGAGGTGCACGCCCCAGCCAACACGAGCCGCGCGCGGATCAGACGACGTGTCAGACCGATCCAAAGATCCTGCTCTCGCCTCGAGCCTCTGGCCTGGCAGCGACCCTCCGCTGGGGCCGATGGCAGGGGGCGGGGTGTCGACGGCTTTAACGCGCCAAGCATTCACATGCCCCCACTCTGGTGGGGGAGGCACGGGGTTCCAAAGTGGCGTGGGGGGGGGGGGGGGCGATCCCTCGCAGCCACAAGGAAGCATTAACCCCTCGATCGAGGTCGCGAATCGCTCGCTCGCACAAGTGCGCGGCCCTGGAGATCCAGGGGTGCTCCACGTGGGCCAGACAAGGGCACCCATGGGTTTTATGGCGGGTGGTATCAGGGCCCCCCAGGTCACATTTAATACACAGGCCTTCAGTATGATATCCGGCTCTCCGCTGGCGGTCCATATTGTTGCACATGCAATCCCCTCTAGGGCCCCCGCTTCCTGAGGCATGCCTTTCTTGCGATTGCGCTGGACATTCAGACGCGACATAGCGAGGCCACCCCCGTCCTGCAGGCAAGTCCCTTCACTGTGCTGGGCGGCCTGCTTCCACGACTGCTGCATGACAGACTGGGCCAGGGCGCTACATATTTCTTCAGCGTCATCAGACAGGTCGGGGTTGAAACGCCACTCGCAACCGTCGGGGCCCTCCCGGACATCAGGTTCAACCCCGACCCATCCCAGGGACCGAAGGGTGAGCAGCATGGCCCCCATGGGCCCTGTCACTGCGCGCCATCGTGAACGGGGCTTTAAACGGGCGGTTTCAAACTTGGTGGCCGAACATCCCCGCCGAACCTGCTGCCTGAGGGAGGGGTTGTGGGTCCAGAAACGCAGCTTCTCTTTGGCCTGGCGCTTCGCGCACGCAGCCCACGGGCCCCCCTCCTCATACATCAGGAGCATGACCGTAGCCGTGCATCGGCCTGTCTTCCCGAAGCCAGCTAAGTCCGCAGCCAAAGCTGTCCGCTTTCGGAATCGTGTCGGGCGGGGCCAAACAGGGGGCGATCGTGGGGCAACTTAGCCCGCGCATAAGCATTAAATGGCAACGTGCTTTTCTTTCTACGCGCGCGCCCCAAACTGGCGAACAAACTGGCCCTGGTGGCCCGAATTTTGTCCAACCTACTCCGCTTCGAAGCCGTGTTCCTGGATCTACGTTGCCCCGTGGCGCTGTCGGTCCCCAGGCCCTTCCTCGCCTTCCCTTTATTTATGGTTATGTTGAGCTCTGCCAGGGACCTCTCGACCTCAAGGACGTCCTGGGGGTTCTGAGCCAGGATGGTGGACTTGCCGGGGATCTCGAGCCTCGCCTTGAGGCAACCTCCAACCAGAACGCTCGCTGTTCTCGGCACCGCTGCTCCTGCCGCGTCGTCGGGCCCCTCGACTCGCACCGTGATGTCATCTACGAACTGCCTCAATCTCGCTATCGGCACAGCAAGGTGCACTTCCTCTAGTACATGATAGAGTAGGGCTCGAGCTCCACGGTTGGCTTTGCCACAGCCAGGGGCACGCTCTCATCAGCCTTGACGAGTCGAGGGCACAGCTATGACATTATGCACATGTGCAACTCGACTGGGGGTACTCTACTTCTGATGCTCGTACAGCTAGGGTCCCCAAATCTACCAGATCGTGAAACTTCTCTGCGTCCTGGAAGAACGTAGCTTAGCTAGTTTTATCTAGATTGGCTCGGGTTTCGTCCAGGACCAGTGTGAGCAACGCTGACTGCAACGCCGAACTCTTTCTCACCGCAGCATCCCATAACCCCGCTTTTCGGTCACACCATTCCGTCAACCTGTTTTTCGTCATTTCCCCCGTGCTCGCATCGTCATCGACATCAGCAATATAGGCCGCTCTTCTCCCGCTCTCTGTTTTTCTCCTTTCGGAGGCAACGCATACCACATCTGCATCATCTGGTGCGGCCAGGTCGGCTGCCGCTCGCACATGTCAGTATGTGGAGGAAGGGCTCCTTGCACATCGGGCTGAGTGCACGGAGTTGGTCGGGCGCCCACTGGTCAGCGCCTAGCCCCGTGCCTGCCTGGAAGCTGCTCGACGCCATCGCCGAGCTCTCCATCGTGAGGCAAGGCCGCTCGACGAGGTCGTCCTTGGCCTTGGCTTTCAGGTCGCTCATGGCCTGTGGGAGCTCCGCCTTGGCGAACTCCCTGTGCGCTGTCCAACGTCGCTCCCATTGTCGCCGTCGAAGCTGGATGCCACGCTGCGGGTCCATCTCCCGCTTCGTCGTGTCGGGGTCCAGGCAGCCGTTGCTGGTGTCGACCTTTTATTCAGAGCTAAGGTACCGATGCGCTCCCTTCATCGAGTTGTCTGACGCCTTCCTGGCCCAAGACCAGACCTTGGCACGAGTGTCGCGCCGCGCCAGGGTGGCGTGGCGAGCGGCCCTCTGGTAGATCTCGGCAATGAGGTCGGCCTGCTTCGACACGTTGTCCGCTGCTCGCTGGTGTAATTGAGGGGCCCACCTGGCACAGTCCTCATCCCCGTCTCGTTGGCCTTCTGGTCACAGGTGGTGCCGGGCGCGAGGGGCTCATCTAGCACAGTCCTCGCCGTGGGGGGCCCACCTGGCACGAAACTCACATGTCTGCCGCGGCCTATCCTCTCGCCGCGCTGGGGAGACTGATTGGACCCACGCTGAGACTCGGCATGGGCTCCCTGCGTACCCTCGACAATGAGTTCGGCCTGCTCCGGCACCTCGTCCTGCTGCTCGCTGGACTTGCTGAGGGGCCCACCTAGCACAGCCCTCAACTCCGTCTCGTTGGCCTTCTGGTCGCAGGAGGTGGCGGACGCGAGGGGCTCATCTAGCACAGTCCTCGCCGTGCGGGGCCCACCTGGCACAAACCTCATATGTCCGCCGTGGCCCAACCCCTCGCCGCGCTGGGGAGACTGGTTGAGCCCCGCTAAAACTCAGAGTGGGCTCTCCGCGTATCCTCGACAGGCGCCCCAGGGCAGGCGGTGGCGTTAGCCCGCGGGGCAGGTCCGCCCCCCCGCGCAGCCGCGCCCAGACCACCCATCGGGCCCTGCTGCGGGTCCTGGCCAGGGGCCTGGGGATCATCCTGGGTGGCGTTCCGACGGGGGTCGTGGCGACTCGGCATGGCCATGGGCCTGGATCCGATGCTGGATCCCCTCCAGTGCGGTAGCTGATCCTGCACTGGGGCTGGCGCCGTCGACGATGTAGCTGGACTCGCCTCCTCCTCGAGCTGCTGTTGAAGAAGGTCTGGCTCGTCTGCTTCCGCATCCAGTTGTGCGAAAGGGTCGTCCTCTCCGTCCAGATTCGCGGGTCGCGCTGCTGATGCTGGCGCCTTTGTCTCGCCCTTCTCGGTCTTCTTGTTTACAGAGGTTCTTAGACGGCGTGGCTGCCGCTGGGCTTCGCAACGTAGGGCGCGGTTTGCCATCCAAGTAGTGCGATAAATCGAGCATCGCCCTGGCGTCCTCATGCTTTATTTGTGTCCGTGTCATTGCCCCCCCTGAGCCTGGCCCAGTAACGCAATGCGCTCGCTCAGAGATCTGATCACACCATCGACTGTCTTAATGTTGACGTCCTTCGCATGCCTGGCCTGGAGGATCGCCGGCTCTCGCATTCTGGCTGCCATCGCCTTCCACGCGTTGGCCCTCTCTCTCAACGCCGCGTCCAAGAATGGGTCGGTCTTCTCTTGACTGGTGACCTTCCGCATCGTGAACTTGGGGTTGCATCCCCTTCTCACGGTGCCCTTAGGCTTGGAGACCGTCATCGGGCGCAGCGGCTGTTCTGCCGCAACTGACCGCTCGCCAAAATGGTAGGCCAGTCTGCAAGCTCCTTCGGGGTCCAGTCTGTGCGCCCATGATTCAGCCACCTCATCAGCAGTTTCCTGAACTGGTCCCCCTCGAGTCTATGCCAACGCCTGGAGCCAGTGTTCATTACTGGCCGCATTGCTGCTTCATCGGGCAGGTGCTCTCCAGGAGGTGGGTCAACTCGTCGTGATGAAGGTCCCCTGGCGGTGCTGCGTCGGCGCCTTGCTCATCATTGTACTGCGTCGGTTTGAGATATCGCTCGCAATATCGCTGGGCTCGCTTGAGTGCTTTTTCTCGCTGGACCGTGTGGGTGGCGATCTCGATCTTCACTGGCTGGATGGGCATCTGCACTTTGACCGACGCTGGTCGGGAGCGCAGTCGCAGGTGAAGCCCCACATGCGGGCTCCATGGTACTCCCCCGCTGGTTTGAAATCTCCCACGAACGGTCGAAAGTCTTCCGAGGCGATACCGTAATCAATGAGCCTGCCCTTGCCCGTCGTGCAGGTGACGGTAAAATCGCTGGGAATCAGCAGCTCTCCTCGTAGGGCTTTCAACCACGGTGAGGTATGCATCTCCGTCGGTGTGTTATTCCAGTCGCCTAATGCAATCTATGGAACTCCCAAAGACTTCACCACGCGAGTCAACTGCACCATCTTGGATACATTGGCTGGATCATCCAGTCCCGCGCTGCAGCCCAGGTGCGCCGAGGCCAGCGCCAGCGTCGCCCCTTTCAGACGCCAGAGAGGATGATCGAGATGTCTCGCAATTCTCCGTGGAATGCGTATTGCCCCGTTCCGTCGGGCATATGTGCGGACGCGACGTGGCCTGCTCTGACAAGCCAGCGCGCCCCCCCGCGATTGCCAGACGTACTCCTCTTCGCCGGTGTAGCTGGCGTCCACGTGAACTGCCATTGCCACCCCTTGAATCGCAACTTCTTGGCCTCCGGATTGGCGGCCTTGGGTGGCAGGTGGTGCTCCGCCAGGTCAGTCATGTCAAAACTGCAGTGCTCCACGTCGCGTCGCCCCTTCTCCCCGCAATGCGTGACATTTGCGAACAATACGTCCACATGGCCACTCTTCATCCTTGTAGGTCTTGACTGCTTCTGCGACGAGTCGGCGCTGTTAGGAACATGTTGCGCTGCTGCTGGCGACGCCTTTGGCCCTGGCACGCAGCGCCCCCGTAGCGAGATGTACTGGCCCACCTCGGCCGCATTGGTGAAGTCCACCGGCACTGGGTCGGTGGTCTCCTGCGCCTGGTCCTTGGCTGTGTCAGCTGCCTGAGCCTGACCACCTTGCCCTCGCCGGCGCTTGATATATTGGTGTACCGAGCGCAATCGTTCAGCTGCCTCTCGCGCCGCCTTGCCCGCGTCTGTGGCTGACTTGAGCGCGGTGCGCGCCTTCTGATGAGCTGTCGATGCTTCTTCATACTGGTTGCGTGTGGTCTCGTCGAGGGATGTCAACTCATCTGTCCCCCACTGTGAGAACTCTTCGTCGTCTGCTTGCTGTGCCTGCTGCGCCTGCCGAGCTTCCGAATGGGGTCCTGCCGCCTGCGTCTTGCCAACGAGCCCGTCGATCTCGGCCTGCGTCGCCAAGCACTCATCGATGTTGGTCCTGAGCTTGGTCTGGAGGTCCTTCTGCGTCTGCGCAGTCCGGATGAGTTGATTCTTGATTCGCCCCTGCTGGGCCTGCAGCTGACGCAGCTGCTGGGCCTTCTGAGCCAAGCGCTCCTCAGGCGTGGCCTCGGGCGGCGGCTTCCACTCAGTCGCCAGGGACGGGCAGACAGCCAATAGCTTGTCCTGGGTCTCCTGGTCGCCGTCTGACTTGGCCTTGCTGAACTTGGGCAACAAAACCTCCATGATCGGGCCTCGGGTCGATCCGCTTCCTTTCAGGCAGGAGCGTAAGGGCAAGCTGCCGCCCTCCTCCTTCCCCAAATCGAAGGCGACGAACGCACGGGCAGGATCTTTCCACAGACGCCCGCACTCTCGGCAACCCTCCCACCCCGTCTTGCCTGTTTTGTGCACAAAGACCGCAAAAACGAGGGCAATGAGGGTACACCAGATCTTCGTTCTTCCGACCACGGCTGGCCGACCTCGGGCGATCATGTTTGCCCCCTTTGGCCATTCGAGGCCTCACGCGCAACTTTCGCCGCCCCTGCTGGGCGCCCCATCAAGCCGCGGGTGTGCCTGGCCGCCCCGCGCGGGCGGGACACCGACACACGGTGCGCGTGCGCGTGTGCGGGTCGGGGCCTCCCCCCAAGAAGGCCTGACCCACAATGGCTTGAGAGGAGGAGGAGGAGGAGGAGGAGGAGGAGGAGGACCAGAGTGAACTGAAGATTAGTAGTTCTGCAAGGAGCATCCCCTCCCGTCCCATGTTCCCTCCTCATAAATACTTATACGTGAACCCTGGCAGAACTTGGGTAGCCCTTTGCGTGCGCGCGATCGTTTGTTGAATGAGACCCCTGGCTGTCGCCGATCAGCCAGGGAGCTACGGCGCGGCCCGGGGGATGGAGGAGGAGGAGGAGGAGGAGGAGGAGGAGGAGGAGGAGGAGGAGGCGAGGAGGCGAGGAGGAGGCGAGGAGGGGCCAGGAGGCGGGCGCGATGGAGCAGCACCAGCAGGGGGACGTCGCGGAGGGGCCCCGAGCGAAACGAGGAACCCGGCGGCGAGCTCCTGACGCGCCGTCGCACCAGCTGCAGCGCCTGCTGCTTCTCGCCCTCGGCCGAGAACTGCTGCAGCGGCGCCTCCTCGGGCGGGGGCGGCGGGTAGAGATCCCGTGAGGGATGCACTGGGCATCTCCTCCTCCTCATCCTCTTCCTCCTCCTCTCCTTTTTCCTGAACGAGAACTCCTTCCCGCCGCACGTCGAGGCCAGTCTGAAGGGCGGGCCAGGCGTTTCGTCTGGGGCGTCTTTACCAACTCAGGCACTGCAGCTTGAGAAATGGCAGGTGGAGGGCGCGCCGCTTCCAAAATGTGGCTCCCGCCTGAGCGTCGCACACATTAGTTTAAACAAAGTGTTAGAACTCCACGGATTGAGGGCGGGCCGTTTTCCATATGTGGCTCTCGCCGTAGCGCCGCGCACAATCGTTTTGCCTATGCGCAAGAGTTGTACGGATTGAGGGCGGGCGGTTTTCAAGATGTGGCTCTCGCCTGAACGCCGCGCCCATTCGCCTGACAAAGTTCTAAGAGCTTCACGGATGGATGGCGAGCGGTTTGCAAACTGTGACTCTCGTCTTAGCGCCGCGCACAATCGTCTTAAACAATTGCATGGGCAGTATGGATTGAGGCCTCCTCCTCCTCCTCGCCTCCTCCTCCTCCTCCTCCTCTTCCTCTTCCTCCTCCTCCTCCTCCTCCTCCTCCTCCTCCTCCAGGGGGAACTTCGAGATGGGGATGTTCGGCGGGAGGGGGCTCCGCAGGAAGGCAACCCCGCGCCACCACCAAGCCTGGCCAGGTGTTGCATACGCCCTGTCTTGCCGAGGCCAGTAGGGTATGTCCACCATCCTGAGGGACAGGCTCGGCGAGGCTTGGTGGCCAAAGGCAGTGGCGCGCGCGCAGCAATTGCCATGCAACTTGCCATGCGAGGGGCAACGAAAGGGGGGGGACTGGCATAGGGGGGGAAACATCGACCTGGAATCGGCGATACATCGCCGATAAATCGGCGATAGGCCCCCGATAGCGAATCCGCAAGGTCGTGGGCGGGGTGGGGCTATCGGGCCCCTATCGGCGATCAATGGGCGATTGGGGGTCGATGCATCCCCCCCTATGCCCATCCCCCTCTATCGTTGCCCTGATCATTGAGGTCGACGCGGAGGACCTGCTCGACTGGTTTGAACAAGCAGTAGCTGCGACTGCTGGCAACGCACTTGGACGTGACCCCGGAGGGCACAGCAAGCGCAGTTCGCATGCGGAAGAAAAATGGCAGGCCCAGCGGGGACCTCTGCGAGAAGATCGTCGGGGTGGACGAAACGTATCACCTGGCTCGCCACATCACAACGAAGAATGTCGCCGTCTTTGAGAGTCCAGAGCGGCCACGGAGCTCGAGGACGGGGTGCGGCAGGGCTGGGAGCAGCAAGCTGCGGACCAGGGCATCAACGCGGGTGCCAATGGTCAACGGATCAGGGTCGTAGGATGGAGGGCGTGGGGACCGCCTTTGATTCGAAGGCTGCGGCAGCACGGAGGAAGACGACGCCAGCAAGCACAGCCTGCAGCTCACGTTTAGCGACGTGAGCAAACCCAAATATTCTGACGCCCAGGCCGGCGGCTATTCGGCCCGATCGTGAGGAGGAGAAATGCAAGACGCCCTGCAAGCACAACCGGCAACTCCTGGAGTTCCAAGCAAAGTGGGACCACCTCCATGATGCCTTGTGGGGATGAGGTGAAAACATCGCAGCCCATGTGGTACTTCTCGGCCAGGGCGGTGATCCACATTGGCATGAGCCGCAGCAGCTGACGGAGGATTTTGACGTGCTGCAGGGAGAGGCCTGCCTAGGTCTCAAGATGCACCGCGGGTTGGACGCGGTTCTCGAGCAGGTCAAGCGCGACATGGGGCAGCAGCAGGTCGGTGTCGAATAGAGCATCGAGGACATTTTCGGCAAGGTCGAACAGCTTGCGGCGGTCTCCAAGAGCAAAGTCGGCAGCCTCGAGGAGGAGCAGGCCGCAGTCGACCAGCTGGCATGCAACGAACTCGAGAAAGCGAAGCTCGTTCGTTCTCCAGGAGCAGCAGTAGTTGCCGCTGAAGCAGCTGCGGCAGCGGCTGGACGACATGGAAGCCCTGGTCGACAGGACGGCCAGTGCTCACGAAGAAGATCGTGAGGATCTAGTGCACCCTCGGCATAGACGAGGGGGGGGGGGTCACCGCACCCCCTTCGGGTGCCTTGCCTGGGGGTGGGGGCTCTCCCTTCGCTATCCTGCCCTGGGTGGGACTGGTGGGAAACAGCAGGGCGCTGGCCCCGCCCGGCGCCTGAGGGTTGCTCGCCTCGCCACCGGCTGCGGCGTCCTCCGCCTCGCCTCGCGGGCGACGGGCGGAAGGCATCGTCGCCGCGGCCGCCGCTCCACCCCCCACCCCCCTGGGGGCAGGAAGGGAAGGTGATGATGAACAGGAGGACGGCAAGGAGGGGGGGGGAAAGACCCACCGTTACAAGATTCGTGCCCGCGCAGAAAAGGGGGGGGGGGACCCAAGTCAACCCAGGATGCGGCATCGATGCCGCATCGGCCTGACCTGAGGAACGATAAGCAAGTAACGAAACATCTTCTTTTCTCCAAGGAGTAGCGCATAAGGGACCGTAAGTAAAACATAACGCAGAAGGAACGATTCATAACGCATGCAAACCTAAGGATCGACCGAGCCCCTCTTGAAAAGTATGTGTTCCTGGTTCAAGCCGCTCGCTGTGCCAACGCCCCTCCTCACGCGTCGTGGCGGGCCTTGCTTCTCCCCGCGGGCGGCGCCCCCCCTTTGAGAGACGAGCACTCGATGGGCCTGCTGCCATTTCTGCCGAGGCGGAGGAGGCCGCGGGAGGGCGTGAGCGTGCAACTCAGCAAGGGGTCCTGCGATAGACATCGCTTTGGCCCGTGTACCGTCGGGGCGCTGCCCTAAGGAGCCCTACATGAGGAACGAGGCCCCTTTCTTCCATAAGCTGAACTTCGGCTTCCCATGGGAAACCTGCGGAAAACCCGAGGCAAACCGTGGAACGATCAAGGTACACCGAGACCCTCCCCGACGAGAAGGGTTCCTTCTTCAGCGCCCCGCCTGTAACGGTCGCGCGAGATTGCACGCATGGTTTCTGCATTCCAGCACTAGCTCAAACGATACCCCCGTTGTGGAAAAAAGGACCGCCTGCCACACGTGCAGCTGTTCAGCATGTTCGAGCACATGGCCTTAAACTGTACTGAATTACTCCGACGGTATGACCCCAGATGCAAACTAGTCTGGCAGTAATCGTAAGCGTCGGCCTTGTGACTAGGGAGGCTCCCTTCCTGTCTGGTAGCTGCTGTTCATTACCGACGCTTACAAGCTTGATTGAGGATGGCCGCCTTGGATTGCAAAGGGCGCTTGACAAAGAAACGATGTTTCCGCTCGAGTCTTTCAATATTCAGACTCCTTAGCGTCCCCAAACCTGTGCTTTTACAAGGAATCCAGATGGCCGCGTCGGATTACTAGCATCAAGCAGGGAGCCCGTAGGAAGGCACTCGAGACTTCATCGCGATTCACTCACAGACGAGTGAGCGCCCGTGACATCCTTTCAATTTGCTCACGATCACTGCTCCCGCTCGAGACTGCTTCGGTATTCGGGCTCCAACTCTCCCGATGGCCGCCGCACATTACCAGCGTGAGGTAGGGACCCCACAGGGAGGGGGCTCCCGCTCGAGACCTCGTCGCGATCCACTCACAGACGAGGCTCCCGCTCGAGACATCCTCTCAACTTGCTCAATGACGAGTTTCCCAACCGAGATTCCCTTGGGATTCAGGCTCCCTGGTGTCACCTAACCTAGTTTTTACAAAACTTTCCGATGGCCGCCTGGGGTGCGAACATGGAGGTGGGGACCTCATAGGGAGGGGCTCCCACTCGAGACGCCCTCGCGATTCACTCACACCAGATTGCCGCTCGAGACATCCTCCCAACTTGCTCATGGACGAGGCTCCCGCTCGAGACTTCCTCCGGATTCAAGCTCCCCTGGTGTCACCAAACCTTTGTTTTAACATGGATTTCCGATGGCCACCTCGGATTCGAACATGGAGGTGGGGGCCCTGTACGGAGAAGCTCCGGCTCGAGACTTCATCGCGACTCACCCACAGACGAGTGAGCGCTCGAGACATCCTTCCAATTTGCTCAGGAACGAGGCTCCCGCTCGAGACTTCTTCGGGCTACAGGCCTCCAGGTGTGGACCTCACAGGGAGGGGCTCCAACTCGAGACTTCCTCGCGATTCGTTCACAGAGGAGGCGCCCGCTCGAGACTTGCTCTCGGTGAGTTGGCGAGAGGGAGAGTGAGTGTGTGCAGTGATGATGATGATGATGAGGAGGATGAGGATGATAATGAGGATGATGATGATGATGATGATGATGATGATGATGATGAGAAGGATGATGGCAAGGATGGTGTTGATGATGATGATGATGATGATGATGATGATGATGATGATGATGATGATGAAAGTGATGACGATGACGATGATGACGATGATGATGACGATGCTAATCTTCTCTGTCTCGTGCAAATTGTAACGGATGATCCCCGAAAGGAATCCAGGACGATGATGATGACGATGACGATGATGACGTTGATGATGCTGGTGATGTTGATGAGGATGATGCTGATGATGCTGCTGGTGGTGGTGGATGGTGGTGGGAGGCTGGTGAGAGGAGGATAAAGGGGGGTGAGGCTCTCTCTCCTGCGCGGGGCGTCCAGCGACAACAAGAACCTCACTTAGGATGTGGTGAAATAGCAAGCGCAAGCCCGTTCCGTGACAAACAACGATCTATCATCGTTGTCGCTGTTGCAAGCGTTTTGTGCGAGGGCGCGCTTCGCTAAGGCGAGAACCCCGTGTTGACCAATGCATCGCCATCCATTCATGAAGCACTCGGACATCTTAGACGCAACACATGTTGAAAACCACGTGGCTTCCATCTTTGAACATGTGTTTACGAATGTCCGCAGAGGTAGAGCGAGAATCGTACTTGGAATACAAGCTGGCCTCTACCCTTGAAGCTGTTTCAAGCTTGCAGGGCGACTGTGCGCTGCCCTACAGCGAGAGCAGAATTTATTGAAAAACACGGGCCCTCCATCTTTGAAACTGTTCGAATTGATGAACTTCAGGGTCGTGATTTCAAAATAAATCTGAGGCGGAACGCCTGACCCACCCTAACGGCTCATCAGGTGGTGCGACGCGGGGGGGGGCTTGCTTGTAAAGAAGAGGGATGGAGGAGGACGACGTGGTACGTGGGAGAAAGATCGGAAGGCTAGGGGGGGGCATAGGGGGAGAAACGGGAGGGCGGGAAGAAAGATGGGGAGGGAGGGGCTGGAATCCGAATCGGAATCGGATCGGTTCGGGATCGGATCGGGTCGAAACGGGACCGGGATTCACTTCGACAGCTTGGTCTGAGCACGCTCCACACGAGAGGAAGGAACAGTTTTTTGGCACTCGCATTCGAGGAACGACGAGGAGGAGGAACGAGGAGGAGCAACGAGGAGGAGGAGGAGGAAAGAGGAGGAAAGAGAAGGAGGAACGAGGTGGCTGCCAAGGTGACCCAGCTACTGAAAAACCATTGTGTCCCAGGGGCGGCCGAAGAGCACAGCTGAAGGAGGCGCAGGTGGGTATGCAACCACGAGCGCGCTTTTTTATTTTCGGCGGTAGTGGGCACGATTGAAGCTAAACAATCCACCCCCACGATAACCACCCCGACACGCGAAATCGTTTAGTAAATGCGCCCAGGGAAGGAATCGAACAGGGCAGGGCTGTTTCATAAACGCCCAGGGCCGTTTAGTAAACGCCAAGTGTCGGGTCCGGGTGTTTTTTTCCTCCCTTGAATGATAGAAAGGAGGGGGGCAGGGGGGGTATAATGTAACGCCTGACCCCCGCCGTGCGCACGGTGGCAGAGCACCCGAAGCGCACTGGGGGAGGAAGGGCGTTACGTTATAGGGGGGGGGAGGGGGGGCCGGGGGCTGTAGTGCCCATTCTACCCCAAGCATTAAAGAAACACGCTCCACCGAGTAGGACTGGGGGCGGACCGCCACCTGGAGGAGGCAGCGAGAGGCGCGCAAGACGCAGGGGCCAGATAGTGCGGCGCCACCGATTTGGCATTGCAAACCGCGGCGGCAACAAGGCAAAGGTGTTGCTGGGCATCTGAGGCGAGATCCGCACCATAGGCCCAAACTAAAGGGGCCCCTCACTGGCACACACAGCCCAAAAGGATCATGCTACACCAAACGCTCGTCTTTTTGACCTCTACGGGGCCCACCGCTGAGTGCCACATGCTGACAGTGCGGGACCTGCCAGCACTCGACGCAGACTGGTTTACCTTCCTGTGAGGGTAGTCTGAGTCGCCAGAAAGGACCTTGATCGACCCTCCCGCACCCGCCCCCCCCCCCTCGGAGCGGAGGCGCTCCTCCACATCCTTGAGAGCAGCCGATTCCATCTGCTGATCTTGCTCAACAGCGGAGCGGATGGGCGGATCAATCCATAAAAGGTCGAGGTGTCGAAACAGGCCATACAATTATCGAGATCGACCGTCACTCCAAGCTTCTGTCGCGAGTAAGTAGGATGGTTGCCCTTACACAGAGCTTTCAAAGTCGAGCGGCTCGACTGGGAGGAGTCACGCATTCCGAGGCCAGGCCACGGACAGAGAGGCGCCCGAGGAATAGCATGTGCACCTCCAGCAAACAAAACGCACCGAGCCATCAGAGCAGTCGAGCGCCAACGGTCGGTGGCTTCACTCCTGCTGCCGTGCTGCATGAAGTTTGGAAGCACTGGCACAGCTGCCCGGGGAAGCACTGACACAGCTGCCGGGAGGAGGAGGAGCAGGAGGAGGAGGCGGAGCAGGAGGAGGAGGAGGAAGAGGGGGCCGCAGAGGATGAGCGAGAGGCACAAGTGGGGAGTACGGCACATCCAGGGACAGCTTCGACCAGAGCGAAAACACACTCGCAACAAACGTGCAATAAGCCCTGACCGCATCTGCCGAATCAATTACATCTTCCATATCACCTGGGGCAGAGGGATGAAGCTGCAATCCGTGCTTAGCTCCAATATCGGCATCCGCATTACCTCGCCTAAGGAAACGCTCGCGTGCCGATATTCCGGCCTCATCTTGGTCAAGATGGGCCTTGACTTCGATTGTATCATCGACTAACTTGCCTTCAAACGCGTTAGCTTGCATGATCATGCCGGAGTACGCGCGCTTCCCCGAATACCTTTCAGGAATCGGGAGGGCACTCTGATGCACAACGTTTGCGCAGTCTGAATACAAGATGGATTTGAAAATCATAAACTGGGCCACCGCGCACCTCGGGCAATG